GTCTTCAGAAGAAGAGGAAGAGAGCGAGGAGGCCCCTCCGCCTGCTCATAGGCTTGCCTCGACCGATGTTTCTCCGAACACGACGAAGTCGCCCGAAGCTAACATAGAGAGCGGCAGTGATTCTGTTGAAGACGACGATGACGATATTGACATAGATGCAATATGATTATCGTGTTTATTTCTCCGATTTTGGAAGTTACCAAATATATATTCGTTAAATTAATATTTTTTCTTAAGTATATCCGCCTGTATGATCTAATGAACCATTATGTGGTCCGAGTCTCAATCGTTGGTCATAGTTTTGTCAAGTGCGGGAACCCTACACGAGATCGCGCGCCTCTTGCTTTAGGGGATATGGCCAAGATCCATCAGTCCAGTTGTGCTGAGTGGAACTGTTTTAACGAAGGTGTACTTTTGGATTGGGTGGTTGCGGATGGAACTGTGTTAATACTAAATCTTTATAGTGATGCATCCGAATTTAACTCTGAAAGTCTTGTGGCGGTGTCAGTCTGGTTTCTATGCCCTACCGATTAGTTTGGTGACGGTACACCTGGATTGGGCCTTTTGCTACCTGCCACCACAAATGACTAGTTTAGTTAGGCAAGTACTCTCATGTTTTAAGGTTTACTGGTCGGCTGAGTTGGTACGCCTACGTGTGGGTGGTCCAATATGACTTCGGAGAGGAGGTCGAACAGCAATAATCACGAGCGTCCCTTAGACACTGGAGCAGAGGTAACCTTCCAGTTGGTCTGTCGCGCGTCTGATGACTGCTCCTGTGTTTGCAAGAGGGTTTACTAGGGATCTGCGGTTGATATGACAAACGTAATTAACCGGATTCACGCGCGGATCATCGGGGTAGAATCGGTCGTTTAAAGTATCCACACCTAGCTCAGTTAACCGTATCGATCTTTAGCACTATCAACTACATGGCTCCCCATTAGTACAGTGGACGGGTCATCGTTTTGTTCATCAAAATGCTCGACACTTGCTCGTTTTGTTTCATGGTATCAAGTATTTGAGGTCGAAATGATAGCTGTTAGTACTATGGACTGCATTAGGCTGCCGAGGAATTGTTGAAAACGCGTGTGAATGCACTGACTGGTCTTCTGTCTTCTTCAGATAAATTTAATCGGAAATGGACGACGCGAAAAGGTTG